AATCATACTAAACAAAGCCTGAGACTCTATTTAATATGGTTTTGGTTTTAGGTTTTTAGTTTTAATTTTTTTTATACTTACAAATCAATTTTTTTATAAAAAATACAATTTATTTGATTTAATCTAAGTATAGTATTAATTACTAAATATATTAACCCAAAAACTAAAATCATACTAAATGGAACTTAAAGTAGTAATTTCATTTCAAATGATTTTACACTTATAGTATGTTTGAATTGAGAGGAATGGAGGGAAGGGGAGGGGAGGAGAAAAGAATTCTTTATCTGGTTATCAAAAAAATTAGAGGGAATGGGAGGGGAAATTTTTCTTTCTTTTTTTTCTTTTAATTTAGTTACTTATCCAAATGAGAGGAAATGAGGAGAAGGGAGGGGAGCGGAATGGTGGGGAATGAAAGGATATAATTCCCCTCCCCTCCCCTCCTCTCCATTCCCCTCAACCCAAATATAGGGTTAAAGTTGATTACATTCCAAAAAGAGAGAATTAGAATCAGACTGGTCGTTCCCTTGATGGATTAATTAATGAAAATCTTGAAAAACCAAACCAAAATCTTACTGATAAAAAAATCTTGTTGAGATCCAGTGGTGGATAAATTGTTCCAAACAGTCCAAAGATAGGAAATTAATTAAATAATATATATTAACTAACGATTAATCCCTGCCTTAATGGATTAATATTGGAAATATTGACAAACCAAATAAATCGTATCCTGCCTTACTCATAGGGACATGAGTGCTCTACGATAGAGAACTACAAAGATAGGTCTCATACAAGGATCGTGCTCGGGTTCTTAGAACCCAAATCGTGGGTTAAACCCACTGAAAGAACCTAGATCGATGCTTGGGGTTCTCTTTTCTATACGTACACTGAGGAAGGAAGGAAGGGAGGGCACGGATGAAGGAGTAGAAAAGGGGAGAAGAAAAAGGAGGGAGATGGAAGGAGGAACCATCAATGGACGTGCGATAGTGGTGGTAAGGCTAGGTTCCTCATGCGACTATAGCGACGAGGCTTGGTTCTTCACACGGTAGTGGTGGCAAGGTTGGGTTCCACAAATGATGACAGTAGTGAGGCTAGTTTCCTTGCATGGTCTTGTGGCTCAAGGAAGAATCTGAATTTCACAGTATTCAGTTGAAGAAGGAAAGAGAGGGAATAATTAAGAAAGAAATGGATTAGGGTTAAAGAGGGAGGGCTAGGGGGGTAAGTTTGGAATTTCAATTTTATAATTTTTAATATAAATGGGTGCTTAAAATTCCATGTCATATTTAATATTTTAAGAAAATTGCCACATCATTATCATCTTTTATCATTTGGATTTTCATATTATTTACGTAAAAAAAAGAAAGAAAAGAGATGATTTGTCAATTAACCACATCATAACAAACTTAATGGAGGGAACAAAAAGAGGAAAAAAACTAATCTTGAGAGATAAAAAGGAAATTTTATCAGTTAAGGTATTAAGAAGGAGCTCCTTAGGGACGAAGGGGTAATGGGGTGTTTGGTTTGGAATTTCCTAATCAGTTATCAGTTTTAATTAGGTAATCCCATGTCAATGCTTATGTGGCACTAGTTAGCACTTACGAGGCATATGCAATTTTCCAAAAACTATACTTTAACTCCAAAAATTTTACAAAATTTTCAATTAAGTTTTATATTCAAGCCACTCCACAATGCAATTTAGTCAACTAAGTCCTTAAATGGACTAAATTATAATAAACAAAAACTAATGATAAACAATTAAGATTGTTAGCTTAATTTGTTAATTATTTAAGATTATAATATTATTTTTATCAAATTAAAATTAAAAAAATCTTTTACATGTAAAAATTTTAAAAATGTATTTTCTCTTTATTAAAATAATAAACATTTTTCAATTTATCTTTAAATAAAGGATTTAGAAACAATTTCTATTATTAAATATTTTATCCTAAAAAAAGAAATAAAAATAAAGAACCTTTTTAAGAATAATGACAATTGAGACTAAAATTCAAAACCAAAATCTAAGACCAATGACATGACTTATGCCACGTCATTTGAAATATTAAAAAATAGATCTTATATTATTTACTGATTAATTTTTTTTTTTAGAATCTATGATATTATATGTATCAATTAATTTAATTATGTGACTTATACCATGTCATTTGAAATATTAGACTGTAGTCTCTATATTATTTAATGATTTTTTTAATACCTATGATATTGTATGCATCAACTAATTTAATGATATAATTTATGTGCATCAACTAATTTAATGATATAATTTATGTCATATTATTAGTCCACAAATTTTTGTCCTCCCTATCATTACCCTTTCATGATAGGAAAGATTATTAAAATTAAGATATAATCATAAAATTAAACTAGAAAAAAAAAAGTTATCTCCTTTAAAATATGAAAAAAAAAATACTATTATTTTAAGACAAATTTTAAATTAAAAAATATCTATTCTTCAATGACATAGAGAGTACATTCTAATTTTACTTCATTCGTCTCAGAATAATTATCGTTTTATGATTTTGAACTTATCTCAAATTAATTAATATTTTTTTATTTTTAAGGCAAACAAATATATTTTTTCTTTAATCTTATTATTATCTATTTACTTTAATTAATCATCCCATCACAAAAAATCTCTCTCTTTATCTTTTATCTATTTTTAAGAGTAATATAGATAAGCATAAACTATCCTTTAATTTTTAATTTTTAAAAAATAAAAAGTAAAAGTTATTTTTTTTAAAAGTATAGTTAAAAATTAATTTTTTGAACTAAATAAAAAAATAGGACACTGATTGGTCCACACCCGGGTGTGCACCCCCCACATAAAAAAAAAAAGTTGAACCGGATGATGGGCATTTTTTTTTGTCTATATTGTGTGTGCACACCCAGGTGTGGGATCCGGGTGTGCACACATCATTATCCAAAAAAATAATATAGTTTTATCTTAATAATAACAGTGATGACTTTTTTAGTTGTTAATTAAATTTAAAACATATAGATTTATTACAAAATAAAAAATAAAAAATAAAGAAAAAATCTCACTAAAAGAGTGAAAATATTGTTAAGATGAAAAAAAAAAAGAAAAAGGAAGAAGTACAATTTTTCGAAACTGCATATGCCACATAACTAGTGCCAGATAAGCATGCCTTGGGATTTCATTAAAAAAATAACAAAAGTTTATTAGATAGATAAATCTAAAATGATTTACAAAATTTATAAATGAATTTAAAAGAAACTCAACTTTTTAAATTAACATGATAAGAGAGAAATAGTTAGTAGATGAAAAATTAAATTTAACCATTTTAATTATATTTAAATAGTTAATCTAAATACTTATTTAATTTTTTTATTTTTTTGATTTTAGGGTTTTAACCTTTTTAGTTAAAGGTAATATTTTTGGGCAGTAAATTATTGCAATTAGGGAACT